TATTGTGATATGTGAACAAACTGGAAACCACGTAGGCGAAATATGAGGTATGTGTGTTCATCCCACCTCCTTTGTGGCTTTTTAAACTTTGAAAAATTACTAGTTATTGTTAAAATACTGTGATTTCCAGTACATTATCCACATATATATTTAAAACATAAAAATATGTAAATGGATTTTCCATTATTCCTAAATGATATTATTTTTCAGTTTGGGGACCGATTGCCTTGTCTGACCCTTATTGTTTAATATTTTGTCTTTTAGTAGCACTGTTTAAAATACTAGGAATTGGTTTCCAGACTGCACCTTTTTATTAAGTTATGTTCAGTATATATGAGTAGTAATTTATGTAGATCACATGACAGTAAAATTCTTGGTTCCTTGAAGTTTTAAAATTTTCCCAGAATTGTTCTACTCTAGGAAGGAGGATTGTGGAGAATCTCCTTGACTATCGTGTCATCTTTCAAAAAATCATTGTGATTTTTCATCCTTGCTTTTTGTTACTTATTAAGTGGGATTTATGTATACAGGCTGTATGTAGTATAAAGAATTGGATAGCCTCAGCTATCCAGCAGTCAGCCAAGGCAAAATGAAGTTCTAAACCAAGTTTCTCAATCACAATCATCCTAAGAGTTTATTGTATTTTAATATTTGCCTAATATGTTGTTCTGTTAGCAAGCCTAAAGGTAGTAAGAGAAATATAGAATAACCTAAGCATTAATAACCATAGCCCCTAAGGAAACCTGAGACTGAAACAGATTTTAGCCTTAGCATATACATTCTTTATTTATCACAATACAGAATGTAAAAATGGGAACTGTTGCAAAGGATGCGAAATGGAACCAAATTGTTGTTTCACCTAAACTAGGTGATAAAATGATTTAATTAACTAGTCTGGTGAGGTGAAATTCAATCAGATATTTTGTGAATAAGCTATTTTCTTACTAATACTTCCAACACCTTGTAAATTAACCTTATCTCTTAATAGGTTGTGACGGACTCAGTGGCATTTATTAACATTTCATGTACCCCGATTTCTCCCATGCTAAATTTGCAAAATGCTTTCCTCCGTTCCTTATTTTTTAAATTTTATTTCTTAATTTTCCTGCAATGTGAAAATATTTATCAGCAGCCACACCTTGGTTTAACAACCATCTCTTCCTTAGTGTGGTAAATGATATATATTCCAAATGCCGTTTGCATTTATGTAATAGTGATTACTCTGCAGGCTCCCAAAGTACTTTAGAATCTAAATTCTTATTTTACTTACTTCAGCATAAGTGCAGACAAACTTCAGTGACTTCAGGTGGATGATTCTAGCTTTACACTGGCATAAAAGAGATCAGAATCAGCTCTATGCAATCTGTGAGGTGAAGTCTGACTCCCATTCTGTGTGCAGCTTTTGGAAGGTGAAGTGCAGAATAACTAGTCTAGGTGAAACAGAAGTAGCATACAATAGAGGAAGAACATAGCTGGAAGTCAGGCTAGTATGTGTTTACCAAACCAGATGAAAGAAATCCATACCCATTGCAAAAAATCTTTATGGCTGAGTAGTAGTCAGAAACGTAGTTTTATATCTCATCTGGAAGGTGGCACCTCCAGCAAAACATTAAGCCTTTAACACAATGATAGACCATTGATTCAGTACTGACCAAAGGGTTTATTTTTTTACTTCTGAATTTCCGGAGCATTCGGGGGTTTTCTGTTGGTTCGTTAGTTGGTTGCTTTTCTTAATAGCTGCAGAATTCTTGTAAGTTTTTTTTAACTGTTGATTACTCATGTATCTTCATAAGTAACTCCAGTTTAACTGAGTTTCATAACTGGGACTATCATTAGATTTTGGTGAGAATTTACATGTTAGTGTATGAATCCCTTCATCGCTCCTCATCAAAGTTGCTGGAAAATATTAGGGTCATAATCAGGTGCTGCTGGGAAATGTGGGGCAGGGGATGCATGCTCATTTGTACAGTCTTACATTGGTTTGTGTCAAACCGAACAAGATGCAAGTAAGATAATAAGATGCTGTTAGTAGAGTTTGATGCGAAAATTTCAGTGGCAGCCACTTATGGTAAATAACTAATCGTGGTTTTGTTTTTAACATGCTTGTTTAATGGTTTTGTCCAAAGCATCTGTAAAGCAGCTTTTTGCCACCTCAAAACTGTGACTCATGAAGCAGTCACAAGGCGTTCATCTTTCCCTTCATTTTGGACATGTTTTACTTCCTGTTTGTCAGTGCCCCTGTGGCAATGTGATAGCTTCAAGTCTACAATATTGTTTTGTTCCAGCCATTTTGGAGTACTCAAGGGTAATATGGTTTATATTTCCTCTAGGGTCTGTGTGTGTCACTTTAGTGATGTTCCCAACCTCCAATAGCCTAAGGTATAGAGTCTTGGAGGAAGATTCAAACTGGATATCTGCAGGCTGCCTCTAGTCATTTCTTTTAAGTTATCTTCCAGATTGCCTTTAATATGAAACCTTTTCAGCTAAAATGTGTTTGAATTGCTCTTGTATAGACCTGTATATTTTATAAATTATGCTCATTGTGACTTTTCAGTAAAGACTAATTTTAGTGCATTATGAATTTTATTAATAGATGCAATAATTCACCATCATTCTAATTGCTGGCCTTAAAAAATGTATTAGTTTTAGTTTAAAGTGTGTATTGAATATAAAACACAATGATGAAGTTATACAGGTCTAACATGATTAAAATATATATAACATTCACTAACAAAGGGACTTTGATTTTTCTTTCTTTTTGTCATTTTCAGAATCCAGATACATTTGAAAAACTTAAAATAAATGAGCATTCTTCTAATTGAAGCTTTTTATGGTGGTTCCCACAAGCAGCTAGTGGATCTTCTGCAGGAGGAGGTAGAAGAATGTGTCCTCTACACATTGCCAGCAAAGAAATGGCACTGGAGAGCACGGACTGCTGCCCTCTATTTCATGCAAACCGTGCCAGCTAATGCTAATTACAGGTAAAGTGAGTTTTGACTAACCTTAGAGGTCAGAATAGAAAAGGGTCTTCAACGACAGTTGTAAAACTAAATTTTCCAAAATATGCACACATGGAGATGAACACTGAAATTAGATATTGATCTACTAGCTTTTCATACTTGAGTTTGTATGAAAAACTTCTAGCATCATTTAAAAAAAATACAGGTCCTATATTTCTAGTACTGTGAAGTCTCCATCTAATATGGGCTAATATAGGTGTAACAGGATGGCGTGTCCCTTTAAGATAGACCAGCCAGTCTTGTCAAGAAAGCTGGGAGTCATTTGGATAAGAAGGGAATGGTGCAGCGTGTCCAATGAGGTTTAAGGAGACCATTGCTTGGGAAGGCTTGCACAGTCAGGGGTGGTGCAGTAGGGGATGCGTGCGCAGCATGGTAGGGAGGGAGTACTATCAGTGTAGTGGGAGGCCTGCATGGCATGTGATACCCAGCCACCCTGGAGTTGGACAGACCTGTTCTAATGTATTGCTAAGTGTGAGTGTGTGTGTGTTACCTTTTAAACTTACCAAGTGAATTCAGAGCTGAGAGAAGGATATAGATCAATTGAGACTGAAGTGCTTTTTTTTTCATAGATCACTTACAGCAATGGTTTTCTGTTCTTTGATCCCAGGGACCATCCTCAGCATTCGTACATAGCTCAGCAACCTGTCTGTCCTTACCTCATAGCCCAGAGGCCACCACCTTCTCCTAGGCTCGTTCCACAGACAGTGGGAACCAGCTAACCTCTGGTCTCCATGCAGCCCCCCTACCCTGCAGTTCCACCTGCTGCACCACAGCTAACCTCTCTCCAATGCATTAACAGCCTGACAGCCTACCTTCCCTTGCAATCTTCTTATAGAACTAGCTCCAGAATGGAAGTGACATTGACACATCACTGTACTTGGGCTACTTAGCTCTGCTTCAGCCAAGATTTTGTTGACCTGTCCATCTGTCTACCTAACTGATGCTTCCAGTTATGTAGATGAAAAACAGCTTGACATCTCAATGTGACACTGCCTGGAATCATAGAAATATGTGGCTGTCAGCTGATCCTTCCACCTTTATCCACCCTGGTGGCTTATCCCTCGGACTGGCTAAGAAACACCAAGGTAGAACATAGCTAAAACACCCTCCATATTCCAGAGGGTACTGTGTACTGTGCTATAACTTGAATAATCTGAATGCCCTGGACAAGTTGACCTAAGTAGATGTGAGGGTAGTTCAGTCTTGGTGACTGTTTAGTTCTTGAACTCTAATGTGACTACAAACTTGGAAGTCAGTTGTGTATGTGGATGTTGGCAGTGTCTATAAGTTAGAGCCTAGACTGAGCCCTCATCCAAGCAGTCAATAGACAATGAACGCTTTCAACCACTATCTTAAAACCAGCCCATCATCTAACATCCCAGATGAGTTAAAGTACTGTAGGGTGAATCTATCAGCAGTAATATACCGAATGCTGCAGTTTACATTTCAGTCTATCCAAACTAGAGAACATCATTGAGTCAGCAGTGGAGTGGGCATTTCACTACCATTACTTAATATACTTAACATATTTACTTCTATACAACACACAACTTTCCCCCCAAAATCAGAACCTCCAGAATTGGAGGGTGTGTCTTAAATGGGAAAACTGATTTTTTCTGTTCTAGGGCAGAAAAATGGTAGAACAGGGAGGGTATTCTCTCTGTAGAGTAGGGAGATACTACTGCGAGATGGCTGCCATACTTGTCCTTCTGCCAGCCTTAGAGAGGAAAGGGACAGGGTTCACCCTTCAGGGTGGGAGCTAGTGTCAACTTTCTCGCAGCCACATTGGCTACAGTTAGGTTCCCTTCAGTCAGCATTCAGCTGTGACTAGAAAAAATCTTTTTTCCTTTCATTCTGCCTTCCCCAGATAAAGTGCAGGTCTTATTTGGGTGTGTGCAGTGTGTGAGAAAATACAGTATAGGGAAAAGTCCTGATGCCACCTTGGAATGTGCTATCAGGGACCCTTTTACCTATATCAAATAACATTAATTTCAGCAGGGACCCTGTGGAAACAGAGGGAAATATGGTAGCAGATCTCAATTGATAATTAGGTCTAATATTTGCTACTTCAAATTATAGCAGATAAAGGTAGTGCGCGCAGATGGAGATGAAAATGATTTTTTAAGCATGGAACTTGTGCTTCAGAAGGTCACGTGGCATGATTTGCAGTGCATTCAGATTTGTTGTGACATAATATGTAACCTAACACAACAGTTCAGCAACGATTTGAATATGAAAAACATTAATGTATAAAAAAAATACCTTTTCCATGTCTGCTGTTGCTTTTCATTTCAAATAAGTTGCTATCCTAAACCAAATTCCTGTAACTAATTTTTTTCTTCTCTCTTGCCTGAGGCATTTGAGTGTGGGTTATGCATTATTTTCCCTTTGCAACAATTTTATTTTGGAGGAGTATATATGACAAACTGTTATGTAAATTTCTCCTGCATCACAACTGCGTCCTCCAACGCATCACAATGTTATCTATGTTCCTTCAAGGTCAGCAGCCCAAGCTGTCCAGCACTAACTGTATTAAACTAATCAGACATCACTCACAGACATACACCTCATTAGTTTAACTTACAGTTACATTGACCCAAGATAACTTAACTCCAATTTGTCAAGTAACCTACGTCTTAAGAAAAAATACCAGCAGCTTGAAAACTCGCTCAAAGTTAACAAACTTGCAATCTGTCGTAGGCTTATGTGCAAATATAACCTTTACTGACAACAAATAAATTTGAACCAACCAATAGAGCATGTTGAAGAAGGGAAAGCATTTTCTCTGGTGTTGCTGTTTGTGTTTGATCATACAGAATCAAAGAGTCAAAGTTCACAAAGATACAGTGTTAAAAAGGGTATATATTTTATCCTTTTATGTAAGATAAAATGGTTAGGGATGCATACTGATGTGACTGGTGGAAAGAAACCTGATTAGAGTGACTTTCTGCTTTACTTGAATGTATTATTATGTTCACTTTTCAATTGAATGTTTCAGGTATTGTTACATTAAATGAAAGTGTAAATGTATTAGTAGTGCCAATCTAATGAGGTTGGCACTACTTTCTCCTACTGGGCAATGGCACAGATTAAAATTAACATTGATCTTTTACCTCTAGTTTGCTGGCTACTATGTAAACAACCATTTCAGATTTGCTTCCCATGTTGTGGCAACTTGTTAAGACTGAATTCTCATAGTATAACTTAAAGAAATATGCATTTAGAGCTACATCTTTACATTTCTTATTTCTGGAGAGGTTATGGTAAACATGATATTTGTGCATGTTGCTTGTGACTTACTCCAGGATTAGGAATTACGTTACTTTAGATCTCTTTAAGTAGAGATCAAATAACATTTCATAAATATTTTGTTACAGTGTATTTTTGATGAAGCAGGAATGTTGCAAGTATTTCAAATGCAGAAGTGCATTTTAACTGAGCATTCACTTTTTTTGTCTTTCAAGATGCATCTTCTTTTCAAAATGTTTGTTTAAAATAGGACTAATAATATAAATTACAATATTGATGAAAACCTAATATATGGTCCTGAAAATAAAACTTGTGTAGTTCATCATGGAAGGAAGCAGGCCAGCTAGTGCTCAGATAATGTTAAATAAAAACAGTAAAAATTTAAAGAGTTTTTTTTTTTCAGCAGAGCGTGACATGAGCCCAAGAATCTGAGATGTTCATATTCGGAAGCTCTGTTGTGACCAGTCATTTTCATCAGTGACAGGTTGCTCATACTTTGTTATTAGACAACAGACATGTAGCCTCTTGAGGAAGTTTTAAAAGCTGGATCAGATACAGGCAGTGAAGACAGCTTTGCTTTTCATAAAAGAAATTGTAAATTATGTAGCCCTAAGACTTGGTAGGTATGTTTATCTTGCGTTTCTAGACAAAAACTGTGGGAATTACCTAGAAATAAAAAAAATAATTGTGCAGAGAGGATCAAGGAGATAATGCCTTTGGCTGCTTGCAGACATTAAAAAAACAAAACAATACAAAATGCGCTTTACTGGAAGAAGCAGTACATTACTTCAACCTGGCTCTGCAGCTGCTGAATAGATTGGGTGCTTCAGCGAGGCTTTTTGACACTTTTTTCTAAAGCTGATTTAATCATCTATCAGATAAAAGCACCAAAAAAGCCCCACTAAAGTGTCTGATCTATACAAATATCAGGTGAGTCAGGTCCAACTAAGTTACTGCCTTTTCTGGGCACGTGCAATGCCCAAGCTGAAAGTAAAGCCCTGTTGGTTTGTTTGGTTTTTTTATTTTTAATTTAATTTTTTCACATCTGCAAGCCGCCTTTGTTTTTCAAAGAGGGGGCACAGCAAACATGCATTCTGGATACTTTCAAACTTTTTACCTTCAACAAAGAGTATGGTTTTATACCAAGGACAGAAAAAGCAGGCAATTCTGTAGGACCTGTTTAAATCCCACAATCTATAGTTAAATTTGCTTAAATCTGCATGTGCCTGCATA